CAGCAGTGGGTTCCGGGCCCCGATGGACATGTAAGTGATGTCCGTTGCCAGCTCTGCCTTCTGTTAATAAATGACTGAATGGCCCTGGCATCTCGTCCTTCCTGCTACTCAGCCGGGACCGAGCAGGGCTAGAGCAGAACAAAGCTGCCAGGACGGAGCAAGGGATGGAGACTGGGGAGCACTTCCCCTCGCAGCCCAGGGGATGGGCTTTCAGGGGAGGCCCGTGGTGGGGCATTTGAAACAGGTTTTAAGGATGAATAGCAGTTTGCCAAGTAGGGAAGGGCCTTTCAGGCAGGGGGAGCAGAATGAGTACAGGTAGGAGAAGCTGGAGATTAATGGGAACACCCTGAGTCAGTGGGTGGAGCAGCGGGGTGGGCAGAGAGATGGGGCTGAGGCTGGAGAGGGCGTTTGGAGCCGGAGTGTAAAGGTCCTCAAATGAGATTTGGGCTTTAACGTGCTAGGCTAGCATTTCACAAATCACCGAAAGATGTCCCTGAGAAGAGGGTTCTCTGGCCCAATCAGAGTCGTAGTGAACCTGGAGGCAGCAAAGGCTCTGATAAGTCCCACACCCAAGGAGCCTCTTTAAACTTTCTTTACTCAGGATTCTTCATAACTGTTTCCTGGGCAGTAGGTAAGCAGCAGGGAAAGATGATGGGCTAGATGTGGGGTTTTGGAGGAGCCCTGACCCCTTGGCACCCACAGTAACATGAAAAAGAAGGCACAGGACTGGTTGGAAGGAGCTGAGGGGAGCCAGGCAAAAGGCCCTGCTGGCATGACCTAGTTTGGGGACTTGGTGACTAAGTGGAGGGGAGAGTGGACTCCTGCTTAGTTGTGGGAAGGGGTGACTGGGTCTGAGGGCTCCAGTAAGGTAGGAGAGGCATTTTCAGTGGTTTCAGGGGGTGGGGTGGGGCTTTGGTACACCTGGCATGAGGTTGACCAAGCTCTCCTGCCCAACAGGGGCAAGGACAGGGGCTCTGGGGTAGGGTCTAGCTTAAAGGCCATTTCAGGGAGTTCTTGGCGTGCCCCCATCCTTGGCCTGGCCCTGGACTCCTTGGGACAGTCCCACTCCCAGGTCTGTTTGCTGCCCCTTCACTGTGCCTTCTCCTGGCTGCTGCACCCTCTCTGCGTGGCTGGGTGGGTGAGCCCCAGTGGCCCCAATGGCCCCCTCTGCTTTCCCCCAGCACATGCGCCCTGAGTGGGTTGGCCCGTGCCTGTCGCCATCGAATCCGGCTCGGGGACTCCGAGAGCCACTACTACATCTCGCCATCCTCCCGGGCCAGGGTGAGTCATCCATTTGGAGTGTCATTTGGCTCCTTATGGGATCCCTGGGCTGGCATTCCGGGCCCCAGGCCTTGATCTACAGAACAGATTCAGAGATGTGCAGAGACTGACTTGGGCCACACAGCCAAGCCAAGTGTACTAGCCTGCTATTGCTGCATAACAAATTACCATCCACTTAGTGGTTTCAGACTCCTGTTTATTCTCATCTCCCTGGGTCAGGAGTCTGGGCACAGCTCAGGTCTCCTAGACTGCAGTCAAGGTGTCAGTCGGCTGCATCCTTTCTGGAGACTGGGGCCCTCTTCTGAGCACACGTGGCTGCTGGCAGAATTCAGTTCCTTTGTGGCTGAAGGACTGAGATACTCATTTTTTCCCTAGCTAAAACCTAATCAGGGGAGTGACACTAGAGTTCAGGTCACAGCTCCAGCCCCAGGCTTTGGAGAGGGTTCTGAGGCATGTCTGCTGCAAAGCCTGACAGTCAGCCATGGGTGCAGAGGTGACACTGTGGATGGGCCCTCTCTGAGGAAACGTCTTCTCTCCTGGACCTACCAGGGGATCCTCATGGGGACTAAATAAACAAATGGCCTCGTCATTCAGCAGCAGACTGGTCAGTGAGGGCAGCTTGTCTGGTCCTGGTGAATACCCCCCAGAAGTGAGCTGGGCTCCCACTTACCCGAAGGGAGTCTGAGCCTTAGAAAGGAAGAGTATGCCTGGGTCTCAGCCCACCTTGGTCTCCCATTCTGTGCTGGGCAGGCCGGGAATGGGAGATGAGAAGGGTGTGAAGTTTTAGGCTGTGGTCCCCTAGGATGTGGTCCCCATCCTGAAGAGACCAAGGAGCGTGGTGTTCATAGGGAGAAGGGTTCTGTCCTCAAAGCACAGCCATGGGGAAGGAACCCCACTGCTCCCTGCCACCCCTGCTCACGAGTCTCCTGTGAGGGCCCCCTGGCCACTGAGCAACACCATGGCCTTTTCCTGCCCATCCTCTGCCATGTCCCACCCTGCCCACCGCAAGTTCCCTGACTTGGCCGCACTCTCTTCATACCTCCCTGCCTTTGCTGGGCCACCAACCGCCCTGCACCCACTTTGTCCCCCTGGCAAGGGTTCCTGTGTGTTTGAGGGCCCAGAAAGAGCATTGCTTCCTCCCTATAACTTTCTCCACTCCCCAGACCATGGCCCCCACACACTGGACATCCCTTCCCCAGAGTGCTGGACATTCAGTAGGGACTGCTGTGGGTATAGCTGCCAGCTGCCTTCCATCCTATTTCAGGGTGGGTTTCGCTAGAAGCAGAGCCTAAGAGAAGTTGTGTGCAAGCCTGAGGAGCTAGTGAGGGTGCAGAATGAGGTGGAGGGCAAGGGGAAGTGGTAGAGCAAAGGACAGTGTGGCCTCAGCTGGAGTCTGGCTGCAGCTCAGAGTGGGTTCCACCCATGTCGGTCAGTCACTGGCAGAAGGGCACCTATGAGCCATTAGTGGCCAACACTCTCAGCAGCGGGGAGATGGGGCCCCAGCCTGGGGAAAGGGCCTGGGCAGGGCACAGTATGAGAGTCCTCATGGCAGGGCCTGGGTCTGAGCACAGGGCCCGGCACAGAGGCTGGGGGCTTGGGGCCTGGGGATCCAGGGCTGCCGGGTGAATAGCTTCTGAGCACCTTGACTTTCCAGGCATTACAGAGAGTGCCTGGCTTAGGCCTGGCTAGCGGGGCCTCCAGCATCCGGAGCAGGCAAGCCCAGGGGTGAGCGGAAGTTCTAGGCAGATTGCCTGGTTTCACATTCCCCCTCTGCCGCTGCGAGCTCTGTGACCTCCACAGTTGTCAGCTGGCTTCATTTTTAGAGTCTCCGTTTTCCCCACATGTAAAACAGGAATGATAAGCATGTCTGCCTCATTGGATGCAAGCACTTGATTTCTTGTTAGTTGCTGCTATTGTTTTTATTAGAAGTAGTAATAATACTCTATTGTTAATTAAACAGCCCAGCCCTGTTCAATTCAGGGAGCATTATCTAGTGAAAGGACAGGACGTGGGGCTTCCTGCTCTGGTCTCTGGTCTGCCCTGGCTTTTGAGGGACCCCAAGTCTGAGGGCCGGCGGGTCACACCCTTCCCCCTTCTTCCTGCAGATCACGGCTGTGTGCAACTTCTTTACCTACATCCGCTACATCCAGCAGGGCCTGGTGCGGCAGGACGGTGAGCGCCCCCTGGTGGCCGGCAAGGGATGGCGCCGGGGGTGGGGCTCGCCTGCAGGGGCGGGATCAACCAGAGGGTTTTGCTGTCCCTGTCTGAGGCCAGGACTCTGAGGGGGGGAGACTGTGGGTTAGTAGAGGGCTGGTAAGCCTCCTGGTGCTGAGATGAGCTGCAGAAGGAGCCTCCTGGACACCGCCTTACCAGGAAAGCTAGCCCGATGCCACCCCCATACCTGGGTCTGACTGCTTTCTTCTGCCCAGAAACCTCTCCCTGCCCTCGGGCCCACAGGGACAGGTCTCTGTTACTGGCCCGGCATTTGAGGACATGCATGAAGGGCCTCCCCTGGGAATCCTCTCTCCTCCAGGTGTGGCCTCCTTATGGTCCCCTGAACATGGGCCTCCCACAGTGCCCTTGCCCAGCAGGTCCTCCATCCACCGGTTGTCCCCCTCCTCCCATTCTGCAAAGCCTCGCTCCCCTCTCCTCCAGAGTTTGTCTCCTGATGAGTCTTCTCCTGATCCAATTTGGAGTCTGAGTCTCTCCTTTCAGCTTGTGGGGGTCAAGTCCCTCTGGGAGGCCAAAGCCTGGTCAGGGGATGAGCCCTGAGGGGCCACTTCCTCTCGGGAGCATGGACTGACACTGTGGCCCTGCTCACTGCTCAGGGTCACTGTGAGACCTCAGGGAGGTGAGGTTGGAAAGCATTTGTGAGTGTGTGGCGGTGTAAACATGCACATCTGTGTCGGGCTGTGGGAGTGGCAGTCACCTCCTCCCCCAGTACATTACAGATCCTTCAGTGTGTTCACAAGTTTACAAGGCCTCAGTCTGGAGCCTCAGACTGTTTACAAGGCCTCAGACTGGAGCCTCAGAGAGGTTCAGCCCCTCGCTGAGGTCATCTGTCCTGGGGAACTGGGGAGCCCTAGAATGCCTGCCAGTTGCCCTGCCCATGGGAGGGGACCAGGCCATCTACCTAGGGTGACCCTGAGCTGTCACAGAGCTGTCCACCTCTCTCTGTCTACAGCAGAGCCGATGTTCTGGGAGATCACGAGGCTGCGGAAGGAGATGTCGCTGGCCAAGCTGGGTTTCTTCCCCCAAGAAGCCTAGGGCCTGGCCCTGGCCTGGAGTGGGGCTCGGAGCTGGAGCCAACACCTGCCCCAGGACAGATAGATGGACAGGAAGACAGGATACTGGAGCCAGCCCTGAGCCAGAAGCTGAACAGATGGACAAATGGCCAGGCCATGGAGGCAGCACTGAACCGGTACCAACATCCATTCCCGGTCAGACAGGATCTCATGGGATGATTCTCTTTCTTCCCCGGTGGTACTACAGCCACCAGGAGACTCTAGAAAGCACCAAAGACCAAGAAGCCTGGATCTACACTCAGGAGCTCAGCTTTTGGGGGGACACCAAGGCAGCCAGCACCCTCAGCCCCAGTTCCTGGAGCTGCTGCCTACAGGTGCCTTGTTGCTGCCATTTCCTCCAAAAGGAACCTGCTGGGTCTCCTGATCTCCAGGTATCCCCCACCCCAGTTCCCAAGCCCAGGGCACCAGCACCCCCTTGTGGCCATCCCTCACCCCATCCCTGGTGGTCTCTCCTTTGGATTGCCTCAGTGGGCCTGCCATCCTGCAGAGGGGCAGTGGTGCTAGGAGGGGCCAGCAGGGACTTCCACCCCAACTGGCCCTCCCACTTGACCTGCCCTGTCCCTGTCTGAGCCCTGTGTTCCAGAAGATCAGGCCCCATCGCCGCTGCAAGGACTCTGGCACTTTTCTCCCAAAGTAAAACACAGACAGGACTTCGGGGCACCATGCCTGTTTTCAGCTGTGGTGGCCATTCAGACAACAGGGAACTGAGGTCACCAAGCCCTGCACGCAAGACTAGGGTGGGGCCCCAGGCCCCTCCTCACCCCTCACAGCCCACTTGGGACTGGGGTAGAACCTGGACACATCCCTCAGCACGTCCAATTCCCTCCTCTGAATGGAATGTAACGCCATCTCTATTTAATAAAGGAAGCCTTTGTTGGTAGAGGCTGGGCAGCCACGCGCCTTCACTCCTGTGCCCTGGGGCCCGGGCCAAAGCTTGGACATCTAGGGGAATGAAACCAAATCCTTTCCTTGCCCACCCACCCTCGTGCTTGGGATTAAACCCAAATCCTGAAGGGATTGCTGTAGAGAGGACTCCTCGTGTCCTCCCCGGTGTTCTGTGGGCTGTGGTTGTTGGGGGATGAGCCCGGCTTCCTTTCCCCAGGGGAGTGGCTGCTGTTGGGGAGAATGGCTGGCTCTGCCGCCCTCCAGAGGGCTTGGGCCGATCCCCCTGCAGTCCCCCTGCCTCGGTCTAATGGAAGCCTGGAGCCCAGAGTCAAAGCATCGAGGCTGCCTGGTGCTCATGGGACGGGCAGGATCGATTGGGGATGTCCGCCATCACACAGGCAGGGACTGTGATACAATGGGGGACAAAAAAGGGTGAAGGTCTGGGCCCTGGTACTGCCCATCCCTGCCCCTGGCACCTGTCCCCCTGACCCAGTCACACCTAAGACCAAGGAAACACTAAGCAACATTCCAGAGGCCTGGCAGAGGGTCCCACAACCCAGACCTGCTCTGTCTGCCTCTGCAATAGGTGACACTTGGGATAGATGACACTTCTGTTGTCAGGACCACGTGGGACTACCATGAGCAAACAGTACCTGCGATACCCAGGGCTGTGTGTGAGGGATGGGGGGACACACTCTGGCCCATTGTCTCCTTACAATAGCTAATTTCTGAGCACTTGTCATGTCCTTGGTTCCAAGCCCTTTAAATGAACAAATACACTTAATCCTGAGAGCAACCCGAAGTGGTACTATTATCCCCATTTTGCAGATGAATCAGCTGAGGGACTGAGAGGTCACACAGAGGAAATGGTGGCCCCACGACAGGAATGAATGAGCCTAGCTCCAGAGCCCACAGTTTTAAGCAGCACCCTAGACTCCTTTTACTAGAACCTGCCATGTGCCTGGTACCCAGTCAGGCCCCTCCTTGTTTTTCGGAGATGGAGAAGGGGAGGCTCAGGCAGTGGCAGAGTCAGATTCAAATCTGGGTTTGTTTCCCACATTTTTTGCCCATGACCTCTTCCCCTACCCTTGTTCTTCTGGCTTGGGGTACGGGTGGGGGGCTCTCTAAAGGAGCTCAGGGCTTTGGCTCCTGGAGTTGGGAGGGGACAGTTAGCCAACGTCAGCCACACAGGAGTTGTCCCTCTTCAGTGAATTTTCTAGATAACCCACTTGGCCCTGGCACATGTGGCCACCTCTATTTCTTTTTTTTTTTTTTTAATATATCTTTATTGATTTCAGAGAGAGGAAAGGAGAGGGGGAGAGAGAGATGGAAACATCAATGATGAGAGTCATTGATCGGCTGCCCCCTGCACGCCCCCTGCTGGGGATCGAGCCTGAAACTCAGGCATGTGCCCTGACCGGAAATCGAACCTCGATCTCCTGGATCCTAGGTCGGTGCTTAATCACTGAGCCACACCTGGCCGGGCTGTGGCCACCTCTTGGAAGCACTGACCATGGCCATTGAGCCTGAGCCCAGCTGCAGTGACCTTATGCATCACTCTGTCACATCCCACCGCCTGCCAGGCTGTCCCGATCTGATCCTGCCAGGGCTGTGTACCTGGGCATGTCACTCCTCTCTGTGCCTCAATTTTCTCATCTGTGAGTTGGGAAGATTGGCCTAAGCGACCTTTGCAGGCCCCCCTCCCTCTTTTTTCGTTTATTTCATTGTAGACACATAAAGCTTCCCATCTTAACCATTTTCAACCGTACAGGTCAGTTGTGTGGAGTATATTCACACTGTGGGGAGACAGATCTCCAGTGCTCTCTCATCTTGCCAATCTGAAACTACACCCATTAAACAACTCCCCTTTTTTTGCCACTGGCAGCCGCCAGGCTACTTTTCGTTTCTATGAAATTGACTACTTCAGGTATTTAAGTGGAATCATGCAAGGTTTGTCTTTTTATGACTCTTCAAGGTTCATTTCTGGTGCAGCATGGGACAGGACGCCTTCCCTTTTTAGGCTGAATGACATTCCATGTGTGTATAGACCACATTTTCTCTGCCCACCATCGATGGGCACAGGTTGTCCCCACCTTTTGGCTACTGTGAATAAGGCTGCTGTGCGGCTATCTGTATTTGAGACCCTGCTTTCAATTCCTTTGGCTATTTAACCAGAGGCGGGATTGCCGGATCATGCGGTAGTTCTATTTCTAATTTTTTGAGGAACCTCCACACTGTCTCTTCCATAGCAACTGCACCAATTTACACTCCCACCAGCAGTGCGCAAGGGTTCTTCCAATCTCTCCACATCCTCGCCAACACCTATTACCTTGGTGTCTTTTTTTTTTGTTCCATTGCTTTTCAGAGTGGAAGGGTAGGAGAGAGAGAGAAACATTGATGTAAGAGAGACGCATCGACTGGTTGCCTCCCACACATGTCCCAGCCGAGGCCTGCCACCGAGGTACATGCCCTTGGAATCAAACCCGGGACCCTTTAGTCGTGTGCTAACACTCTAACCACTGAGCCAAACTGGCCAGGGCTACCTTGGTGTCTTTTGATAATGGCCATGCTAATGGCTGTGAGGCGATGTCTCATTTTGGTTTTGACTCGCATTTCTGTGAAGATTAGTGATGTTGAGCATCTTTTCATGTGCTTCGTGGTCATCTGTGCGCAGCCTCTGTTTACTACAGGGCATCCATTCTAAGGTGCTCCACTGTGCCACCACAGTGATGCCTTTAGGGAGAGTCTTTGTGGCTGGGAGGGCCACAGGTCTTGAATAATTCTGCGGGCCCTGCCTCCCCAGACCTCCCTCTTCACAGAAGAGCTGTGTCCAGGGACTACCAACCAAGCTGGCAGTGTGGTGAGCCTGAACTCAAAGCCAAATCCTGAAGCTCAGGCTGGAGTCTGTTTCGTGTGTCTGCACAGAACGTGTCCGGGCTTTGTGACCGCTCTCTCTGGGAGGCCCGGTGCTTTCTCATCGACTTTCCTGACTGGGCCTCCGCTGTGCCCGTGCTGCTTGCCTGAGCCCCACTGGCTTGCACAAGCATCACTTGGCTCCGGAACAGTGGCTGGCAGCTCCACTGGGTGGAGACTTCAGTGTGCCCAACAAGAGGCCTGTGTGGCAGCTCGTGGTAGGGAGAAGCCCAGCGGGGCCTGGGACAAGGGCTGTGTTTGAGTGCCCCCTCCCAAAATGCTTTAGCTGCTCAGACCCTCCCTTGCCTTTTGTCCAGTTCCCCCTTCTCCTCCCTAAACCCAACACTGCCGGTGGCCCAGTGGCAGCTCAGGAATGTCAAGTGGTGCCTCTCCCTTTCCAAGTGGTCAGAAAGGGCTCGGTTGCCTTGATGGGGGTGTGGGGACAATGAAGTCCCCAGTTTCCCTTGACTGTAGGAGAGTTGCAAGATCCACTGGGTTTCAGCCCAGAGAGGTGAAGCAACCTATTGAAGGCCCCAAGGCCTGCAGAGAAATCCTGTGGGACGCGGTGGGGAGAAGACACAATTCGGGCTTTATGGGAACACGACCCCGGATGGCCAGAGGACTCGAGCACTTCCTTCTTCCGCTGGGATGAAGTGGCCTGTGGGGGCGACGGCACTGACCCGTCCTTACATAACCTCCTGAGAGGCCCTGTGCAGGCCTTCCCCTCCCCCATCTCACCACGTGCAGCAGGGGGTACGTGGAGGATCTAACTCACCCCAAGCCCTCAGCTGCCTCACACAGGAGCTGGGGGCAGGCCAGGCTCCAGGGGGCATCAGGGGGCAGCACCGACCACTGAGGGCAGCTGAAGACAGCAGCGTGAGGACCATGCGCCCGTGGAGGGGCTGGGTGAGAGCATTTAAGATCTACTCTCCTAGCAGCTTTCAGGTATATAATATAGTATTAATTGTAATCACCACACTGTACATCAGATCCCCATAACTCATTCATCTCATAACTGAAAGTTTTTACCCTTCAACCAACATCTGCCCATTCCCCTTACCCCTCAGGCCTTTAACCACCTTTCTCTCTGTGATTTTGGCTTTTTCAGATTCCACATATAAGTGAGACCATGCAGTATGTCTGACTTATTTCACTCAGCATAATGCCCTCCAGGGTCACCCATGTTGTCACAATGGCAGGGTAACCCATATTGTCACAATGGAGTTCCTTCTTTCTTCATGGCTGAATAATATTCCACATCATCTCACATCACCTTTATCTATTCATCTGAGGGTGGACACCTGAGCTGTTTCCACATCTCGGCTCCCGTGAATAATGCTGCAGCGAACGTGGGAGGGTAGGCATCTCTTCAAGATCATGTTTCTATTCCTTTGGAGGCACACCCAGAAGTGGGAATGCCAGACCGTATGGTAGTTTGCTTTTTAATTTTTGAGGCATCTCCATGCTGCTTTCCATACATTCCCACCAGCAACGCACAAGGCTCCCCTTTTCTCCACTTCCCTGCCAACACTTGTTATCTCTGGTCTTTTTTGTGACAGCCATTCTAGCAGGTGTGGGATGACATCTCACTGTGGTTTCGATTTGCTTTTCCCTGGGGTTGAGCACCTTTTCATGCACTTCTTGGCCGTTAGAATGTCTTCTTTGGAAAATGTCTATTAAGCTCCTTTGCCCATTTTTAAATCAGATTGTTTGTTTTTTTGCTATTGAGTTGTATGAGTTCTTTACATATTTTGGATATTAGCCTCTTATCAGATACATTATTTGCAAATATTTTCTCCCATTTTGTAGGTTCCCTTTTCGTTTTGTTGATTCTTTGGCTGCGGAGAAGCTTTTTAGTTTGATATAGTCCCACTCATTATATTTTGCTTTTGTTGCTTGTATTTTGGTGGTATATCCACAAAATTGTTACCAAGACCAATGTCAAGGAGCTCTTCCCCTATATTTTCTTTAAGGAGTTTTATGGTTTCAAGTCTTATGTTTAGGAACTTCAATCTTTTATTTGGCATAAGTGTACATATTTTACCAGGGCAAAGTTATACTTGTGAATGAACTCATGTCACAAACACTGCAGT